CCACAGACCAGAATGAGTTGCTTTGAAGGGCTCCTAAATTCAGCATTTGGCTGAATGTTTTATGTGAGCAAGTGGATGAGGCTGGGGATTGGGAGCAGCTTCAGCCTAGACAAACATCACCCTCAACCATCCATTATGACTTCTTTTGCCCATGGAAGGGAGGGGCTGAGATCTTTCCTGCTAATCCATCTTTGGGGGAACCCAAGAGCCACTGAAGGCGGGCTGGTGGTGCAGAAAGGAAAGTGTGACCTACAGCTGATTTGTCTGAGACCCCAGGGAACCCTGCCCAGCTGCCTGAGTCATTTGCATGATCACCTCTCAGGGAGGTGTGCTTGTGTCCCAGCACAGGAAACCCACAGCCTCCTTAGCCAGCCTCACTTCCAAGCCCTTCTCTCTACCTAGCCTGATTAATTTACTCTTCCCTACTCATCTTCAGCCTGACTCATTCTTCCTGATCCTTCTTAGTCTATTTTAAAAGTCACCTTTTTTTTTAACCACTCCCCCTACAATTCCTTAGGCATTCCACACTGTTAGAGGCTCCCACTCTGTGCTCCCAAAGTCTCAACTCCCCCTGTTGTTGGGTGTGCTTTCCAGTTGTTCTTGTGGACTGTGAGCGCCTAGACAACAAAAATTATATTGTGTTCATCCTTATCTTTCCTTATTTATAAAATGAGGGTAACGACTTTACCTACCTTGGTGAGCTGTTAAGAGTACTAAAGAAGATAATGTGTATGTGCACTTAGACTAGTGCCCTAAACTTTGAAGGGCTCCATAAATATCATTCATTGTCATTATTCATAGTTCTACTCTCTTCCAGGTACAAAGCCTGACACACACTAAGCATTCAGTTGTGTTGCGTATGTGTGTAGTGAATTAAAGGTAGAATGAATTTTGTAGCTGATCTTTCCTTCTGCTTGGGTCTCCCAAGAAAGCAAACTTAGACTATAAGTAGAATTGTGTGTGCTTCTCTTCCCTGAGGGGAAGAGAAACATGTTTTCCTGGACAGACCCTGTGTCGAAATTTCTGGTTTCAGAGCTACAATCCTTTTTGTCAAAGGCTGAAATTAGACTGGTCCTTATGTCTTTTGCACTCAGGGTCTGTGCAGGAGGATAATTGATCTCAGGAACCAAGCATCATCTTCTCTCTGACTCTCCTCCTAGTGAAATTAAGCTGAAGTGAGCGAGGGAAACAGCCTAGTGGGATCTAAGCATATCGCTCGAGCTCTGCCTGAAACTGGAACATTGGCCATGATCCCTGGCTCCAGTCTTTGGACTTCTTATTTGTGCTCTCTGCTTCAATCTCTCCCTGTTTTTGTTTGTTTGGCTTGTTGGTTGGTTGGTTTTTTGTTTGTTTGTTTGATGTTTTGTTTTTGTTTTGCTTTGGTTTGATTTGTGATCTATGTGGTCCAGTGGATATGTCCAATTCTGTTCACTTCCCACTTAGCTCTAGGAGCAGATAAGCAACCCAGCTGGGTCTAAGCATAGCATTGCCAGTCCGAGGCTCAGTGACCAGTGAAGCAGTAGATGACCTAAACTGAGCCAGCCACTCCTACTGTATACCTAAGCTGATCCAGACACTCCTACTGTATACCTAAACTGAGCCAGCCACTCCTACTGTATACCTAAGCTGAGCCAGACACTCCTACTGTATACCTAAGCTGAGTCAGACACTCCTACTGTATACCTAAGCTGAGTCAGACACTAGTCAGACACTCCTACTGTATTCAGACACTCCTACTGTATACCTAAGCTGGGCCAGACACTCCTACTGTGGTTATTCGAATACTAAGATATGGAACATGACTTCTATGAGACTCTGAGATATATGCCTCCAGGGACTCTGGGAAACATCCTTCTCATTTTGGACGGGAAAACAGGTACACAGCCTTAGGGCTGCTAGAAACCATCTTTGCTACCAGGTGGAAAATGCTGTGTGACACTGAAGCCCACTTCAAGAGAAAAATAGCCCACAGAGAGTGATGGAAACTTATAAATAATGGAATTTGGGGGCCTGGAACCAGCTGTACCTTCCACTTTCCAGAAACATAGTGGGTGGGCAGTCTCTTATGGTAAGTGAAGGTGTGTTGAATTTCTGCCAATTGAGTTCAATTTGACCAAGAGCCAAGTTACAGGGGAGATGATTACTGAACTGCCTGCCCTTTGTTTAAAGCACAGGAAAGCCTGTCTGTTCTAGCCACTGGTAAGGTTAGAAAGCAAGTTGTTATTCACAGCTCAAACCTAACCTTAATTAATATAGGAAGGATGGCAAAATGTCCTATAGTCACAAAGTAAAAGCCTAGGGTTGTCAACCTGAAGAACAAAGGTGGTCCTGGCCACTATATCCAATACATAGAGGGCTGATCTGGGCCAGAGACTTATTTGTCAAAGGAGAGCCAGAAAGCTGGGATGAGATTTATATTCTATGACCCCATACAAGGAAAATGTCCTGGGAAGATGCTGTGTCTGAGACAGCATTTGCTTTGGTGGGTGTGAGCTCCCCATTACTGAAGGAAAAACTGGACAATCACTGCGTAGGTATATTAGTGACCTCCAAGTAAAGCAAGAAGGGTTCTTGTCATTGCTTTATGCTCTCTCTATAACTCTCAGATAATAATCTCTGAAGGCTCCCAGTTCCTTGCTTGCAAAGTAGGTTAGCTGGGCTTTGGACTAGGACCAAAAAAAAAAAAAAAATTTCTAGCTAGTCACCTCAGAGACTTCTGAGACCCTGAACTGAAACTAGAGCCTACCATAAGTCAAGCCCTCCTTTTAGGAGAATGCAATGTTCTTCCTCTTGGTTTGGTCTGCAACTAATGGGAAGCAGTGGAGCCCGAGACAAGAGACCCAGGCTCTGCATCTGGAACTGGTTCTGCCTTCCTGTGTGAGCTTGGCTGTGTCCCTACCTCTTCTAGGGCCTCAGTTTCCTCATCTGACAAGTTTAACTCGCATATCCCAAACAATCTGACTCTAGAGCAGAACTCAGTGACTGTGCCCCATCTGCAATTCTGAATGTAGCAGAATTCCATTCAAAGCAATGCTAACTACATTACTATATTGCTTTGCCATCCCTTGGTCCCTCAGATCCTGCCAAGAGACTGCCTCATCCTCCTGCTAGGATATCCCCAAAGGACTGTGAAGTGGACTGATCTTATGGTCACAGGAGAGTAATCACAATTGGAGCCATAGGACAAGCAAGTGTGTCTGGAAGCCAAGATGCCTGAAAGATGGGGGTAAAAAAAAAAAAAAGTCTGCCATTTGATCAAGGGCTATGGACTGACAGGGAGAAGGACCTCTTACCATAGACAGAATGGCAGCCAGAGTATAGAACAACACAGAGTTGGGGAGGCAAGTACCCCAGCTTACCAGATCTAGAGGTTTGTTGTTGTTGTTTTAAGGACAATATCTATCTGCACTGGTTTGTATATACAACCAAAATACCAGGTAAGCACTCTCCCCCGGAGCATCTCCCAACCTCAAGAAAGATTTTCCATGGTATGCTTTTAAAGCCCCGTGAATATATTACATATATGACAACAAAATAAAACAATTTTCAAAAATTGTTTTCAAAAATTGTTTCAAAATATCTGACAAGGAGAGCTAGTGATAGACTCCAATAAAGGACTCTGGCAGGAGAAGTGTGAAGTTTGAAAATTTCTGTGCATGGTCAAAAAGGGTCCCTCTGAGAAGCAAAAGGAGGCAGTTATCCAAAGAGCCAGTACTCGGGAAGTGTGGTGACCTAGCAAGAGCTGAGTAGAAATTCACTTCTATTTCCTGCTTGTGTGCCTGCACGTGGGTGTGAAGTATGTACAAGGTCTCCTTGAGGCAGTGGTTGAAAGGGCTGGAAACAATATAAATGCCCATCAGGGAGGGATTGGGGGTTAGCCAATGCTGGCAGTCCCTCGAACAGAAGTGTATGCAGTATAGAACAGAGTAAACAGAATAAAGAAGTTCATGCATTAGACTGAAAGGTACTCCAGGACATATTGTTGAGTGAAAGGATTATGGAGCAGTAGAAACATTTATGTGGTAGTTTTTGTTTTGGGTTTGTTTTTGTTTTTTGTTTCATTTTGAGACAGAGTCATACTATGTGGCCTGACTATCCTAGAACTTGTTATAGACCAGGCTAGCCTCACAAAGATCCACCTGCTTCTGCCTCCTGAGTGCTGATATTAAAGGTGTATGCCACCAACCCTAGCTTTGGTGGACTTTTTGCTTGCTATGTATGTATGTATGTATGTATGTATGTATGTATGTATTGGTTTCTTGAGACATTGTTTCTCTGTGTAACAGTCTTGGCTGTCCTGGAACTCTCTTTGGCTGGTCTCGAACTCACTGAGATCTTCCTGCCCCTGTCTCCCGAGTGCTGGGATTAGAGGCATGCACCACCAGGACAGTGTCTATCTAAGCACTCTCCCCCAGAGCATCTCCCAACCTCAAGAAAGACTTTCCATGGTATGCTTTTAAAGCCCTGTGAATATATTACATATATGACAACAATTGGATCATCCTAATAAATGAGGCTTAGTGTGTAGAACACAAGAATAATAAATTCATGAGTGGGTGCTGTATATTTCCTATGGGACTCCAGCCTGAAAATATAATTGGTGGCTGTGTATCCTGAAGACAGGGCATTTGATAGCTAGGTCTAGTGGGTGCCAGTGACTGTGCCTAGGGGGACATCAGGCAGGGAAGCAGGCAGGTCTAACTGGCACTGAAACCCTCCTGTGCTTCCCTCCTGCTCCCTTCCTTCTGTCTTTAGCTCTTCCTTCTCTTGGTCTAGAATGCCTTGAAAACAGTCTCTTTTTTCCCACCGTGTTTTCTAGGCTAAGATTCCAATGGATGGAGGAAGAGGTTTCATAGGAACCAGAGCAGCTGTTCCTACTCTCTCATTCTTCAAATCTCAACACAGAGTCAAGCTCCTCCAGGAAGCCTGAGTCATCCTGAGTCCCTCCCATCTGAAAAATGGGGACTACCAACGGTGGGGGCTGTTTTCCTCAAGTAAGGTCCAGGTTTCTTGTCTCTAGTCTCCTCACCCTTGAAGATGAGAGGCAGCCCAGGCCAGAGCCTCAACGTGTCCACCTCAGCATGTCTCATAAGAAGACAATAGAGCAGGAAAGCCATGTCTTTTGGAAGTTGGTTCTCTCTTTCCACCACAATACCTGTGGCTCCCAGTTATTGAGCTCAGGTCATCAGACTTGGTGGCAAGTGCTTTTACCCACTGAGCCACATCACCAGTCCCCACCTCGTTTGCCATAGAGCAGAAAACCCTCACCTGCCAGTGACAAAGCTCATCATACCTTGGCAGAAAGAACTGGGTATGTTCTTCCTATTTTCACAAGAGGCTTAGGCAGAAGTCAAGGTAGAGTCTAAAGATGAGTGAGTGACCTGGTTACTTCACAGCTCTCTTGTCATGTAAAACACTGTGTGGCTGCCTGCCACAGTCTGTAAGCTGGGACAGTATCTGACTTGTCTCTGAGCTTTCAGCTGTGGACCAGGACGGAGCCTGGCCCAATCTAAGAGTCTGGGGAAATTAAGAATTGCTATGAAAACCAGGGAAAGAGAAAGACTTGGCTGGGCATTTGACCTGAAAGTAGAACTCATATTTTCTGCCTTAGCTTTAGCACGTTTTCCTCAGTTTCACTCCTACAATTGCAGGGCATTTCTCTGCACTATACATCCCACCCTCATTCCAAGTTTCTCTGCAGTAAAGCAGCTACCATGAGCTGCCAAGAGGAAGTGGAGAGGAAGCAGGAGATTTGGGTGGGATTCTCAGAGAATGTGGGAACTGCAGCCAGTTTCCTATTCAACACAAAACAAGTGGGTTTCCGACTAGAACAAGGACCTGGTCCCCATCAGGCTAGTATGGCATCCCAGAGATCCTGGCTTCATTCCAATGATTTCCTACTTCAAATAAGTCCCTACAACATGACCAACAGGTGGCGCTTTTGTCCCCCATAAACCTGATGGGGGAGAGGAAGGAGACAAGAGTCAAGGGGGGAAAGACAAGCAGAGGAAGCATCCCCGAGAAGCACAAAAATTAAAAATGAGTCAAGAAAAGAGAAGTAGAAGACCCGTCACTTGGCTTGAAACAACACTTTCAAGATCCAAACTGGGAATGGGTACTGGGGAGGGGACTCTAGTGGTGCACTGAGGAATGTTACTGGTGGCTGGGACTTTCCATCCAAATTTTCACTTCCACTCAATTCTTCCTCAGAGGAAGAAGATTGGCTTTGGAGTTAAGCAGACCTGGACAAAGTCCTGAATCAGCTAAGTCAGTCAGTTTGTGGCTTGCCCTGGGTAAATGGCTTAACTTTTAGAAACTTAAATTGCATAATTTATAAAGGGGGATGATCTTATAACACTTACAGAAGTGTTATATAACACTTATAGAAGGAAGCTAGGGGGCTGGAGAAGTGGCTTACTGATCAAAAGCATATACTTGTCTTCCAGAGGACCTGGGTTTGATTCCCAAAGCCCTCACCAGATGGCTCACAACCACCTTATAACCTTAGCTCCAGGGGATCTGACTCCTCCCCCTCTTTGGGCATCTGCACTCATGCACACCACACCACACACACACACACACACACACACACACACACACACAAATATCAATAAGAGGAAGCTAGCAATGCTAAGTGAATTTGCAGGATTTTGTATCTTTCATATCTTCTTTCGTTGTTGTTGTTGTTTAGTTGGTTGAGTTGTTTTTGTTTTGTTTTGTTTTTGATGCAGGATATCTCTATGTAGCCTTGGCTGGCCTGGAACTCACTTTGTAGTACAAGCTAGCCTTAACTCATAGAGGTTCACTTACCTCTTCTGGGATTAAAGGCACATGCCACCACGTCCAGCTTTATTAAGCTTTCATAACCTCTTAAAGTAGATTAAATTGGGGTAGCTTCCCTTTCTTCTGTATTCTGAAACAATTTATGTCTCTAGAAAATAGGTTTCTTAGGGACTGGAGAGATGGCTCAGAGGTTAAGAGCACTGGCTTTTCTCCCAGAGGTCCTGAGTTCAAGTTCCAGCAGCTACGTGGTGGCTCACAACTATCTGTGATGAGATTTGGTGTCCTCTTCTATGGTGCAAGCAGAACACTGTATACTAAATGAAACTTTAAAATCTTAAAAAAAAAATAGGATTTTGTGGTTTGACAGCATTTGCAAGTAAATCAACATAGGTGTGCTCTGGGGAGTCAGTTGAGGAACTGCCCCTGAAGGGTTTTGTCTGCTGTGCTTGTAGATCTTCTGAGCCTCGAAGCTCCCTACCTCTTTCAAGCCAGACTTTAGTCAATGGTTGGTTCTTTCTGTGGCTTTTGTGCATCTGCTTTTGTCCACATGCCCCAAGCATCTTTTTCTGTAATAGCCCTTATGTGGTCTCCCTGTCTCGCCTCAGGTCTCCTCTAACACCATTTACATAGCTTGTGGTTGCAAAGGTCCTTCTGGGCATGAGTTTGGCTTATAGATTTAAAAGTCCACATCTGTAAATGTATGGTTTTCAATGTATATATTTATAAGTAGTCTGTAATAGTAACTCTCTTCTAGCATAAGAGTTACTTATTTAAGTAAGTTTTCATTTAAAAGCATACTATGTTAGCCCTTGTATCTTGCAAAATCCTCCCTGTCCCCATATTAGCATCTTCCAGAGAGGTACTTCACATGAGCTTAAATAACCCAGTCACACCAGGGGAGGGCCCTCCATTTTGCTCATTATTTTTTCTTAAGTAAACCCAAATTATATCCAGAGATCTGACAATTGCCTGAAGGAACTTTTCTGTTGACACAACTGTCAGGCCATTGTCAAGGGTGTCACTTTTCTACGTACTCAGTTTTCCATGTGCAAAGATAATGTTGGTGTCTTTCTTGAGCTGGATCTACAGGCTCTCAAATTAGCTTGACATCATCCTAAGTCCAAAGCCACCCTTCCCCGAATTCCAAGTCTCCTGGGGCAGGAGGCATCTTTGTCTGAGTACCTTTCCTCCCAGCTCCTTCTCAAGGGCTTGCCATACAAATCTGATGACCTGAGTTTGATCCCCAGAACCTATGATGGAAGGAGAGAAATGACTTCCAAAAATCGTCCTCTGATCTCCACGTGCACACTAAGGCATATGCACACACCATGACACACAATAGCACTCACACATATACATCTCTCACAACAACAATAATATAAAGAATTCTCAATGGTTCCTCTTCCTGCCCAAACACTCACCAGCATGCTGATCTATCTTCCAGCTTCCTTGAAGATAACTCATACTAAATTGAGGAAGTACCTCTGATTCTGTCATTCCCTACACCCTCCCCCAGTGAAAGTCGACCTAAATGCAGCTTGGACTCAACTATTTCATGGTCAAAGTGCATATTTAGCTTCTCATGTTAAAATAATCATCTTAATTTCAGATGTGTGGTTTCCAAAACAATTTACCTCTACTGGAACAAGGAAATAAACAAAGAAAAAAGGATGATATGGAATCCAGGAAACCGAAGACGTAACACAGGCCAGAGATGAAGGGATGGTGGAAAGAAATTCCAGAGCAACATCTGTACAGCAGACATGGAGAACCACCAGGCCAGACTGGAGCCAGAGGACAGAGAAATCTGGGAGAGTTGTCCCCAGGAGGGCAGACATGCAGCAATAACATTGATGAATTTCCTCATACACTTGGTCTTGTGAAAAATTGTACCATTAGAGACAGAGAGATTTAGCAGTAGATAGACACTGAGCAAATGAAAACAAAAAAGACACAGTTAGGTACAGGAAAAATTAAAACATTGAACATACATTGTATACTCCTGGTTTATCAGATAACAAAATGTATACAGTATACAAAGTAATAAAGTAAATGTTATTATAAAAACAAATTTAATCCAAAGTTAGTGATTTTGGTGGCTGGCAACAGGAGGGAGGAGATTTTAGAGGTAAGTAATCAGGTATCATAATAGAAAATTAATCATTAGAGCCGAGGGTGGATTTTCAGTGACAGAGCATTTACTTGATTGACTTGTTCCAGGCCTGGGTTTGATTCCCAGAACCACAAAAAGAAAAAACGGGGGGGGGGAGGGGTGCAGTGGGGGGGCAGTCATTCATTACTATCTCAAGAGAGAGGACTATAAACATGAAAATATATTCCAAAACAAAACAAACAAATAAGAGCTGTATTTGAAGCCATGAAGTAGTGGCACACGCCCATAATCCTAGCACTCAGGAGGCAGAGACAGGCCGATCTCTGTGAGTTCAAGGACAGCCTGGTCTACAGAGTGAGTTCCAGGACAGCCAGGACTGTTTCACAGAGAAACCCTGTCTCAAAGCAACAACAAAAATAACAACAAAAGAACTGTATTTGTAGAACTGCACTGGAGTTGTTACTTGTAGTACTAAATGCAGAGTTTTTCAGAGCAGTGCAAGATACCAATTGTGAGTTTATGATTGCTGTTTGACTTATGACATTATGTGCTCATTTCAATTGAACAAAAGCTTAAATTAAAGGACTAGAGATGTAGTTAGGTGGTACAGTGCTTGACTAGGGTGTGCAAGGCCCTGGGTTCAATCCCCAATATCAATAAAATAAACATTAAAGTGTGCCTTCAGATTAAAATGGTGTGATTTTCTTTTTTATTTGATTTTTATGTGTATGAGTATTTTTGCCTGCATGTATGTATGGATAACACTTGCATGTCTGGTGGCCAAAAAGGTTAAAATAGGATATCAGATACCCTGGAACTGGAGTTACAGACATTGTGAGCCACCATGTGGGTGCTGGGAACTGAACGCAGGTCCTCTCCAAGACTGGAGTGCTCTTAATTGCTGAGCCATCTCTACTGCTCCAACTTCTAATATTCTTTTTTTTTTTTTTTACATTTACCTGTATGAGTATTTTGCCTGTATACTTGTCTGTGCATCATGTACATGTCTGGTGCCCAAGGAGGCCAGAAGAGGGCATCAGATCCCCTAGAACTGGAGTTACAGACATTGTGAGCCACCATGTGTGTGCTTGGAGTGGAACTAGAGTCCTCTGCAAGAGCAGTCAGTGCTCTTAATCACTAAGCCATCTCTCCAGGCCCATCTACCTTATAGAGACAGGGTCTCTCAGTGAAAATGGAGCTGTTTCATTAAGACTGACTGGGCAGTGAGACCCCAGGATCTAACTGTGGGCTTCATAGAGCTGGGGTGACACACATATGAACCAACAAAGTGACACTGGTGATCCCAGCTCAGGTCTTCATGCTTGCTCAGCAAGCACTTTGACTGATGAGGCATCTCCCAGTCCATCTCCAGAGCTTTTTAATGGGAAAGTTGGGTTACACTCTAGATTTTTTTAAACCTCTGCCAAAATGCCAGAATTTTTAGGGCTCTTTATGATGTATGGCTTTCCAGACTGTAAACTCTTTGAAGATGTACACAAGTTTCCTTGTTTGTATCTCTGTTGGGCACAGCATATCCATGATGGTGTTGAGTAAAGACCCTGCCCTAGAGAGAGAGAGAGAGAGAGACAGAGAGAGAGAGAGAGAGAGAGAGAGAGAGAGAGAGAGAGAGAGAGGAGAAGGAGAAGGAGAAGAAGAAGAAGAAGAAGAAGAAGAAGAAGAAGAAGAAGAAGAAGAAGAAGAAGAAGAAGAAGAAGAAGAAAGCAAGGAAGGAAAAAAAAACTGAAAATGTCTTTCTGGATTTCCAGTTCCACACTGACCTTGCTCGTATTTCCCTGAGTGCCCTCAAATCCTGGGCACTGAGCTATCTGTGTGACAACAAATGGAATCAAAGCCAGGAATGGTGGTGGTACACACCTTTAATCCCAGTACTTGGGAGGCAGAAGTGGATCTCTGTGAGTTTGAGGCCAGCTTGGTCTACATAGCTAGTTCCAGAACATCGAGGACAACACACACACACACACACACACACACAGAGAGAGAGAGAGAGAGAGAGAGAGAGAGAGAGAGAGAATGGGATTCAGAGCTGAAGAAGTGTTTGCTTTTTGGCTTCAGGGTGGCCAGTGGGTTCTCCCTTCCTGGGGAATGTCCTGAAATGAGGAGGCATCTGTGAGCAGATGCTTGGGCTTAGAGGCAGGGAGCACAGCCAACACACCACCTGAAGAAGAAGAAAATGTGCACTTTGATCTTTGTGGTGCTCCCTTCTCAGAGACATGAGGCTGTGCTTCCTGAGGCCTACTGGGCACAGGGTGGAGAGGTTTTCTCAGATGAAGAGCAGAGCAATTGCCTCCACTTCCACCCCATTCTCCTTCTCAAGCCCCCACAAGAATAGCAAGTAAGAATGAATAAGAAAATGCCAAAAACCAGGCAGTGGTGATGCATACCTTTAATCCCAGCACTGGGGAGGCAGAGGCAGGTGGATCTCTGTGAATTCAAGACCAGCCTAGTCTACAAGAGCTAGTTCCAGGACAGCCTCCAAAGCCACAGAGAAACCCTGTCTCAAAAAACAAAAACAAACAAACAACAAAAAAGAAAGTGCCTAAATATTCATTATTCACTAAAGCAGACACTAAGGGATTCCACATCCAGTCAGCCAGTCCACAGATACTAAGGGCCTCTATGCACCAGGCAAAATGGATCTGACCCTTTCTCAAAGCAGTTAACAGCTAGGAGAAGACACTTTAAAAAAAAATCATGCTCTAAAAAGGGCCTTCTGGCCTCAGATTCCCCCAAACCTTTCTCCTATGAGCAGCTCACTGTCTACCTTTACCTTCCATCACCACCCTGTAGCCTCAAACACTGGTATCTAGGAAAGGAGCATCAGGCACATCGCATAAGACAGTCACATTACTCTCTTCACCCTTCCATATCCCGGGTCAAGGTCTGCTAGACTGGGGACTGCAGCCAGAATCTTGGAATAGCACAGCTTTTGGGTCAGCACCAGAGACCAGGGCAAGGTCACAAGCCAAGTCCCTCCCCGCACCCTTCAACCTCTGAGGCAGGTATGTTGCTGCCCTGTCCTTGGTGCTGGGCCACGTCAGGAATCCATTCAGTCAATGCTGCTGCCCCACTTCCAATCCTGCAGGGGACACAAAAGGAAGGTGGCCTGTGATTTAGCCTCATCCCTCTGAGCAGCGAGTTTTCATCTTTTAGGCTGAGCCGGCAGCTTGGGCCATTGTCTCTCCTCCAGTATAGTGTGCCCCAATCACTTGAGGATTTTATTAAAATGTAGAATCTGATGATTCAATAGGTCTGTAGTAGGGCCTCAAACCCTGCATTTCTAGCACTTCTCCGAGTGATAAAAGTCCATGGACTTCATTTTGAGGAATGGGCAATTCACTTTGCTGAGACGTGATGACTAGATTGATGACAATTAATGTGCTCCCTTATCCTTGGCTTTGGGAATGGTCTCAAAGAGCAGTCAACCTGCTTTCTAAATTCACTCACCCACCCGCAATCCCATGCCATCTCTCCCATCCGCGAGATGCAGGTGGCAGACTTTGTCAGGCCGGCTGTGTGCATAGCTATCCTTGACCCTACTTCAGGAGAATCTATCTGAGGACTCAGAAGGAGATTCACCCCCTGTCACTCCCAAAAGGCAAACCTCACCCACCGTCCTTCCCAGCCACTCTCCAAGTTACCAACCAACACGACAAACTCAGAGAAAGTTTTCTTTGTTTTTTAATTAAACTAGCTTTGATTAGAAAATAACAATAACTCGGTAAATTCTGTGCTTTCCATGGGGGATGGGGCAGCCACAGAGGTCCATTAATCCCCGTTCAGTCTGGAGACCCTGGTGCTGCAACCTAGAGAAGTCTGAAGACCTGAAGACCGGTCCTCAGAACCGGGAACAGAGCATCCAGGTATGTCTGTGCGGGAGAGGGCTCAGTAAGAAACCAAGGGCAGACAGGTAAAGCCAGGGTAGGGGACAAACTTGTCCAACTTGTCGGTAAATGAAGTGGAAGTAATGAACACGGGAGTCTGACCTCTGACGTTGGCAAAACATCAGAGGTCGAGGAGGTGGCTTGAGACAAAAGCTTCCAGACTGGAACTCACAAGGAATCTCGGGGTTAGAGACCCCACTGGTGACCGTCCAGCTCCAGAGCGTGAGACTTGGCACTGTGGGGGTGCACAGATGGGGCATACAAGTAGAGGGAGGGGTGAAGGCCTCAAATTGGAGAGGGCGCTTCCAGTCCAG